AGTCCCCGGTTAGTTACGAAGGCCGCCTTCCACTCGTCACCGGCTTTGATCTGGACGTTGTTGTATCCCCATCGGACATCGAACTTCGTAAAGAGCGTAGCGCCACGGAGCTTGTCCACCATTTCGGCGATCAACGGCAAGGGATAACGATTTTTGACTGTGATTGCGTTCAATCGGCGGTAGTCCTGCACGGGTCGAAGCGTCCCTTCCTTCTTTTTGATGAAGAAGAAGGGGGACGAGATGGGCGACTTCGATTCCCGTATGTAACCCTTCGCTAGTTGCTCCTTGAGGAACTTGTCAAGCTCCTCCTGCTCGTTGTTCGACAGGGGGTACACCTTCGAATGGAATGTCGAATAGCCGGGCATGAGTTTGATTGCGTGATCATACGGCTTCCTTTCGGGTAACCGTTCTGATGCTTCCTTGGAGAAGACATTCAGGAACTCGTGGTACTGTTTAGATACCGACTCTTCGGCGGTCTTAACGACCTTCTTCTTGATCTCCTCCTCGGCGAACAGCTGGGAGTACGTATGTCCTGCTGCGACAAACAGCTGAGGAGCACCGGGAAGCGTGATGCCTTGCTCCCAGGCTTCGATCAAATCGACCTCATCCCACTCTACCTCCACCGGATCTTCCTCGGGTTCGAAGTCTGGGAGTACCTTACTCCAGCAAGCGCCTATAACCGACCGTTTGGATTTCGGCGAACACCTGCGCGCCGTGGGCCTGTCCCCCGTATCACGCGCAGTCGTTGCTTGCTCCATTCGGCCAGTCCTCCTGGCACTGCACGTTTCAGGGCATCGCGATAATTTGAGGGAGCCTTTCTCCCAATCGATTTCAGGGTTGTGCTCATGCAGCCAATCCAACCCAACGATTACATCTTCTGGACCGATGTCCGTGACCGTGAACACCGTCTTCTCGACGTGCTCTCCTATATGCATCTGTAGCACTGCTACCTCCGAGATGCTTCCGTCCTTGTTCAGGGTGCCGTCAATATTGTACAGTGGAATTGGTTCCTTCAACTTCCGCGTTTGCACCTTATTCTCGATAATGAATCGCTTGTTGATGAACTTCGTGGTGGCTCCGCTGTCCACCATAGCGATTACGTCCTTGTGCCGTCTTTTTCCTTGAAGTCGAACTGGGATGTGAAAGTGCTGGGACCCCTGGTCCAACTCATACACCATTGCAGTCGACAATACATTATAACGATTACATGATATACCCGGCCCGACGCGTGCGGCACGAAGCACGGACCGGATCAAAAACCCTCCTCCTTCATTGCCCGATAATGCTCGAGCTCCTCGCGCATCGACTTCACCTGTGCTATTAAGTCCGCCAGCTCGGAACTTTCCGATTTCGCTGAAGCGGCGCTTATACTCGCCGAGGATGAAGCGACGGGGGCGCTTGTCGCCGCCTGGGTGGAACCCGAGGCAACCGTAGCCCGCGCGTCGGCGCGTTTTGTGTAAGGTTTATCCTTACAGTTAGGGCACTCGAAACGACGGTACCCTTGCTTCCCACAGCCGAAGCACGTGCCGGGGAAGTTTCCTTTTCCGACGGCCGCATTGATGCTGGCCGAAGCTGCGTGTGACGAGGGTGCACCACCACGTGCCCCTCCGTGTCCTCGACCCCGTGCCGAGAAGAAGCTGTTTAGCTCGGGCCAACGAGCCCGGCTAACGTCGAGGATTTGCTCGACCTCGGTGGCGCGCTTGTCAGCGGCTTGCCACGTGGCGAAGGTTTCGAGCTCGAGTTTGCGATAGACGCGGGAAGGGATGCCGCTCAGGTACTTGTCACGTAGTTCCAGGTTCCCATACCCGGAACGGTCTGCCGGACCCTTGAACAGCGCAGAGAATTCTGCGGCGGTGCGCTTCTCGCGCATGGTTTTGTCGGAGCAGAGCTTGGCAAGCTCCACCTGTGCCACGGCAGCGTCGTCGAGATTGCCAAAACGGGCCTTGAATGCCTGAAGGAAGGCTTTTTCGTCGACGAAGGGGGTTGTTGCTCCTTGGATCCCGATTTGGACGGAGGCAAGCTGGGAGAAGATGGGGGTGGCCCAAGCTCGCGCGTCACCATCGAGGAGGCTGAGGGCAACCTGGATCTTCAGCTCGAGGGAAGAGAGGGCCGTGTTGATCATCCAGTAGATGAGCAACTGCGAGATGAAGCGGTTGCATTTGACCACCGACTTCCCATCGTATCGGAGCAGGAGGAGGAGCTTCAACGTCTCCTTATCAGGTACGGCAGCGGGAGAGGACATTATCGGCGACGAGGGGGACGAAGGACTGCCCGCAGACGAAGGCGACTGTTGTGACTGTCCGCCGGGCGGACTTCTCGAGGAATGAGTGCTTGAGCGGCCTCGCGGCGGCGACGGCGGTGAAGTCGGTTGAGGAAGCCCGGAGGCGGGGTGACGTAGGACAGGGACTGAAGTCGAGGCGGTGACCGCTGACGACGAGCTGGCCCAAGAATGCGGCAGAGTGTCGCGGGGCTCGGTCTTGGGAGGTCTTTCCAACCGCGGCCCCAGGGAGGACTGGGGGATCGCTTGAGGGGTCGCTGTAGGCTGTGCGACTGCCTCAGTTCCTCGAGGGAGATGGGGATCTCCTCGCGCTTGACCTGTACTGGCGACAGGTTGGGGGATGTGGGTGCCTGGCGAGGCAGGTCGGGATGGGACAGGAGTGACGTGGCGAGATGTAGATCTCGAGGTACCAGCGTACCGGAGTGCAGGGCCGCTGGGGTGTTGGACTCGTCGGATTGGCACGAAGTGTCCTGCGTCAACAGTGATGGACCGTGGAGTGCGATTAGGGCACGGTTGCCGATCACAGATGAAGAAAGGAGCTCTGTCTCCGTTGCTGTTCGGGTCGTCACGAGAGACGTCGACCTGCTCCTGGGTGTCGAAGGCGTGCTCAAGTCGAGAGCAGTCGAAGAATTCATCAGCCACGTTGATGGGGGGAGGAAGGGGAGGTGCGCGTGCTACGAAAGGCCGTGCTAGCTAGCTTACACCTACAGCGCCCGAGGTAACACTAGGGTTCGCAGTTCACATGGGGCCCAGTACTGCTTTTGGCTAGTATGCAGCAGGAACCTAAGCCACGCGTCCGTGAGGACAAGTACCGCCCACTGAAGTGCAGGTACTGAAGAGTTCGTCCCCTAAGTGGTGGCGATGTATAGTATGCTATCTAGGTATCGTAGGGTACAGTAAGGGTGCGCACCACCCAACCTATAGGAAGTGAATGTGAGTAGTGGGAGTCCTGAGGGAACGCCGGCAGCTATGGGGAGTTTCGACCTAATGTCGCGACTTGG